CTAGCAGCCTTGTACTTCCAATCTACTTTCCATTTGTCAATGACAATCTCTTGGACAACTGTCACATCAGCAGTTTTTCCCATGTTGGATAGGCCATAAAAATGACATTCTTGAAAAGCCAAATTTCTAAGGCTTTACTAGCTTTCCATTAGAATACTAAGAATGGCAAATCACTCTTTATAATGAACCTTATACATTCCTAAAACACACACATTTATAGATATATACAATTATACTCATAAAATATAAATACGCTTTAAAAGAGGCTCAGGTTAAAAGTACCTTTTAAAGGTAACTTCTAGGCATATATTAACATATTTTTGTTAAAGCCTATTATTGAAACCACTGCTACCTTTTTACTGTCAAGCTGTCGAGACTCTTTTAAAACCCTGTCTGAAGCACTTTGCCATGTTGCCGTTCTATGACGGTCATCCCAGTCGGCCACTTCCTCTATCGGTTGCTTGAACTCCACCTCACTAATCTGACAAGTCATTTGCTGCTTCAGAGTCAGTGGCTCCCTGGACCAGAAGGTGACCGTCACTTCCTTAGAGCACATAGCATGAAGGTGCCCAACCTGTGTTAAAAAAAACCCCATCAAATTTTCAAATGATCAAAAATAGGCAAAGTGAAGACTTACTGAATAAAAATATGAAATAGTGATTCTATTAGTTTTAGTCGAATGATATTTTGTGTTGATCATATTTTTAATCCATTTAAGAGTTTACCTCTGGTGAAAATGTGACATTTGGTTCACTGGAAGGCCACTCGAACTTCACCACCTGGTTTCTGCTGTGGTTGGTCATAGTGAAGCTTTCTTGGTATTTACAATCTATATAGCAGTCACCAAAATGAAGCACCTCACATAAACCTTTGAAAAATGAAACAGATTTGTCAGGAAACGATAACATGTGACAAAAGCCATTATTTTTCTAAACAATTCCAGTATGCAGTAAAATTCTCTAAACCCTCAGAGTTCCCTATTTTGTATACCTTCCGCTTCATCTTCTTCATCCTGCGGTGAGCTGCTGATGTTATCGAGAGACACCGTTTCCTGATACGTCTCTGCCATCACATGTATTATGGTGTTACTGTACTGGTTGTCCTTCACCTCCACTGCCATTGACGAATCAACTTTAACAGATTCGTTGGAGCAAAAGCTGACCGCAAAACTCTTCTGTTCGTTTACGTTAAGCCTCACAGTGACTCTGTGGACCATTTGACCCTTTGGAACATGGGAACCAATGTCTGTCAGGAAAGACGAAAGTGAAAGGTTTTGTTATCTCAAAAATGAAACCGCTGTGAAACAGTTTCATTCTTAAGGAGAGAAAAAAAAAGCTACTAAACAAAAGAAAAAAGTGAAAAAACAGAAAAAGGAATAAGTCACCCTAAACAGGTTTGAACTGCAAAACCAAGACAAAACTGCAACACAGAAGAGGACAGAGAAAAAAGAAATACAAGAGATATTTCATACTAAAACACTCATTACCTGATGGAGGAGGTTGCTGAAGTTGTTCGCACTGAACAGTGCTTTTGGTGTCGCCTGGAGGAGGTTTTATTGTAAACACACCATGTTCATCCACCAACACAATTTGGACCTTTCACAATAAATAATATAAAGTTACTAACAATTCTCTCTTGGTCTTTTTTTTTTTTAGTAACACCTGATTGTTACTGTATTTGCAAGCATTTATTATAAAATATTGTCAAACGTTTTGAAACTGCTAATCTAAATTGTTTTGTTAAGAAATAAGAACAAACAAACAAACAAAAAAAGAAAAAAATTCACAAACTGAACATGTAGTTTAAATTTTGGCCCAATTCAGCTCTGGTTTGATTTATCATGACGAGGTTGAATGTTGGGTTTTCCAACGCATACTTTTATTGGTTTGCCTACCAAAACCAGGTTAAAGCAGGTTAATGTTTATGTTACTAGAGGAGGAGTTGTAAAAACAACATTGTTGTGTATAATAAGATATATTGACAAAATACATGTCATTAATAAAAGAGAACATTCTACAAAAGACATCCTACCTGGATGATGCCATGACCAGCTATTTTTGGTCAAAGTGTCAGTCCAAACATAGCTAGCACTATTTTTAACTAACGACCTAACAACTCAAAAACTAATGGCATCTTAAAGCCACGGTATGTACATTTTCTCTTAAAAATGGTTTTTACACATTTGTTAAACTAATTATCATGTCTTGTTAGTAAAAGACAGTCTGTAAAAAAAAAAAATCTAACGCCTTAAGTTTTTACCAAAACTCACTTGCGCTTCTATATCCCCATCATTGAAAAGCACCAAAGGTAAAGTGTGTCCTCTGCCCACCAAACTTCGTCTGAACTGCATCACTGGTTCTCCCTTGCTCCCTCTTCCTCCCCGAGCTGGACGCAGGACACAGACCCTGGGCAGAGTCCCCTCCCCACTTATCTGGAACTCCACGGTTTGGTTGACTAATGTGTGTTTTGATCTTGATACACTAAAAGAAAGCAAACTTCATAAATATCTTTCACAAAGGACATAGGATTATTGCTTATTTTTTTCAAACAGCACAGTTTCATTGGGGTAAAAATTTCACCTGGAGAGCCCCTTGGTTGTAATTTCCACCGCAGCGCTGTATGGCCGGATTGCCAGTGGTGTGAAGGTGACCACAGCATAAGTATGTGACTGGCTCAATATGTTCAGCGTTGTTGCAGACAAGTCAAATACTTGTCGAGACGCCTGAAAGCAAACGCATCATGTATTTTTCCATTGTGACTCTCGAAACATGTAGATAAGACGGCTTTAAAAGTCTCACCTTACTTCCAGTATATTTGAAGGCCAAGTTAATTGTACAAGGGACCTTGTTGTTGTTGATGAGTTTAAAGCGGGCTTTAGAGGTTTTCCCCACTACAGTTTTGTTGTAAATAAATTTTTTCTCATCTATGACAAAAATGCCTTCAGCATTGGCAAACTGCTCTGAGGACAGCTGGTCACTGTTCTGACACAAGTAGTGTTCTTCAAAGATGTACTCCGGATCTACCATGATGCCTGTGCGAAAAGAGAGAAATAAAGTAATGCTTTGGAAAAATCTGCTGACTCAAAGGTGGGGACAGTTTTGCAATCGACTTCTTTTCTTTGAGGTAACATTTCCAGTTTACAATAGTTCAAGGCCTATTTTTTTTTTTGTCTGCCTTTAGGCTGTTGTATGCAGTCAATGATTTCTAAGACAACAGTATAATTTTAAACCAACAGATCAGAGGGTAATTTCTATTTTGTTCCCAGATTTAGTTAAGAAAGCACAGGTCCAACCAAGACAGGAATTGCAACTCACTTATCACCCCTCTCCCATATCGTCCACTCTCAGACTACCCAGGAGAAATTAGCAAACACCTGGTGGAGTCTGCTGAGCTCATTGTACGAGATAGTTCTCAGTGATACACCCGTAAAAACGTTGTCAAAGGGTCAACAGAGGAGCGCTGTTGTGATGACTTCATGAGGACGGAGTTTCAGAAAAAGCAGAAAAGACACAAGCCCAATTTCAAGGCATTACAAAGTCTATGTTGTTGTTGATATGTATAGCATTTTTATAACAACTGAAGGTAATATTGTTACTCGATTGGATTATAAAATGGCACTATGTACTTGGAAAATACATACTGCTGCTTTAAAAGATTGGCTATCCCTATTCAGATCGACAGGGACACAGTTTGAAAAATATGTCGGAACAGAAATAAATAAATAAAATAAAAAAAACATTTGTCAGTCTTAAACTTAGAGATTTGGCTACTTGCAATATAACGTGATGTATTTTATGAGTCATCATAGCTGAGTTTAGTCATCCAAGTTGTGTATTCCTAGTTTGGTGTTTATTTCTGACAGGAATCATTAAATGTATGCTTAACACACATATTTCTTGTTTCGTTTTTAAAATATATTTTATTGGTCAGATAAGGTTGGGTCATTTTTTTATGTACAATTCCAGTTATATTTTGTAACGAGTTTTAGATATTAGAATGTTTTCTTCCAAAGTTCACCACATTCCCCCTTTAGAGATTTTCAAATTGAGTTCTGGTTCATTTTATTTTTAGTCAGTTAATTATGTGCCCAGATTTCTTTTCTATCTTTTAAAACAAACCCCATTACAATTTATGGTGGACACACTGTATGTTTAAAGTGTTGGATTGTTTTCTTTCAAATAGCTCTTTTACTGACAAATGAATCTCCCATCATGTTGGCTCATTAAAGTCTCCCACAGAGGCTCATTTTATGCCTAATCATGCTACTCGCCAGCTGGAAATTATTCCATTTAGATGTGAATCATGCACATGCATTATTTTTAAGTTGGATTTGTCATGTAGGGACACTCGTCTCTCACCTGGTTTGCAAACCTCAGCTAACAGTCTGTATACGATACCCTCAGGCTGTTCTGAGGGGTCACGGCCAGCGATGTCAATAAGCAGGCCCTGGTTCCAAGTGCCAAGCTGGTCAGCCAAACAGACAACGGTTATCTGCTGCTGAGTCGCAGGCTGCACGTTTCCATTGCAGGGAGACACGCAGAAAATGCCCAAGTTGAGGGAAGTCTGTATGTATGGGAAAATTTCGAGTAGAAAGCAGAGTAGATGAGAAAACAGAAAAAGGAAAATGAACATCAAATAGCAAACTCAAATCACAATTATGGCAGCTTGAACTTTTATGTTTTATAGATATGGAAAATGGTCAAAAAGACAAAACAACTATTGTACATGATGCAAACCACGTGATGTCTGTTAAAAAAAAAAAAGAACTGGTAGTAGTTGCTTACATCCCGAGAACCTGATTCTCTGTGATGATCTTGTTTTGCTTCGAGATTGCCACTGGTGGACTTTGATGAACCACAATCTCTTGCTGGCACCCGAGATCGTCCTCTAAACTCAGGATTAAAGACAGGATTAAAAACTATTCCATTGAACATTAAAAATTGTTCAATGGAATAGTTTGGAATAAACCTAGAGTAAAATTTTATGAGCTATTAAACAATTAAATTGAGATCTGTGTTGGACAGTTAATGGCTAAACCATTTATACTGAAGTCGCTCTTATCAAGAAAAATACATTAAAGACTACAGATTTCAACTATGAGAGTCCTGCCTGTTCTGAGTCGGTCAAACATATGGTCTCATACTCAAAATACAACTTTATAAAAAACATTTTTTGCATGAGATATACAGAAGTCCAAAAGTTTTAGAAGTTCTATATATTTTAGCTTTTGTAATGTAAACAATGTTGTATTTTTGTTTAGTGTATACTATAAAATACTAGGAACACAACAAAACATTTATCACTATTCAATGGATTTCTTAGCAAATCATAAGGCCAATCTGTATTCTTACCCAACCTTGATATGGTTACTAAACTCTGAGAATATGCGAGTTAGGCTGAAATGGAATGGGAAGAGTCCGTTGTTATCTATTGTGAAGCTCTGCGTTTTGTCGGAGCCACAGGCCAGTGGGCCAAAATCAATGTTGCATGCAGGTGTTATTTTATATCTACAAAGACACAAACAGAAATTTGATCATCTTCAGTAAAGATTCAAACAACAGTTACTGGAGTTATGTTTTCATGCTTTTGTTATGCAATAATGCTTCAGTGTCAGAGAAAAATGAATATTAATAGCAGTAACCTGGAGAAAACAGACTGCAGCGAAATCTTGATGTCTATGCTGGCTATGGTTTCTCCTCCTTTAATGCTGGGTTCAATTATCTGCAGAAGATGATGTTACATATTAAGTCAAACTGTTGCTTTAGATCAGAGGACAACTTCCGTCCAAAACAGCCGCTTTTCAGAAACCTTTAGATATTACCTAGAGCTGAACTAACTTCTCAACTTAAGCTTTTTGTACATATATCACTGTATATATCTGTGTATTCTTTGTTCCTTTTTCACCTATTAAGGAGTATAATGCATTTTTTTCCCTTGTATATGTCTAAAAGTAAATCAATAATATATGTTCTTCAGAGACCCGACATAATGCCAGATGTTTAGATGTTTAAAAGATGAATCTAAAGTTGTAGGACTTTGGCTTTAAAGGACTGAAGTTGGAGACCCCTGATTTAGATTTAACAAGTAAGAGAATTGCTTCCAGTTTACATAAACCTGAATTTCTTAAGCAATTTTCTAAATCAGTAGAGCTGATTAAAACTTTGCAAAATCATTCTATTTGTTTCAGTTCAATTTCAGCTGTAGTGAATACTAAATCTAGGTATGTACAATATTTTATATAATGTACCTCCCAACACTAGAATGTCGCCTTGAATAACTACTACACAAATAAAACCTAGACAAATGTGAGTATTCTAACAGGAAGTTCATGTCAGACAATTAAACAGAGCTGCAATGAATACAGTACATTGACATTGAGCTTACAACCTGACCTCTACACTATTGTAAAATTGCAGACTATGATTAAAAGCTGTGTTCTTGCAAGAACATTTTAATGAATGATACCAATACCAAGAACAGAGGTCAAAGATCCTGCACAGAAGGACGTTGATAGCTACAAAAGGTATCTGTTTTTTCTGCAACTAACCTAAAGACACTTAACTTATATTTTTATTTTACCCTCTATATATATTTTGACGTTATGTGAATTAAAGAAATTCCACAATAAATTCTAACCTTTGCATGTAAAATTCCTAAATATACTGTATTAAGGCAGAAGAAAATTAGCTTATGAGTATTTACTTTCCCTGGGTCTAATAGACAATCTGAAAGTGAAAGGGTAAAAGTGTCACTTTTAAGAACGTTAACATCCATCTTGGAGAGCACTGAAAGACACCTGACATATAATGACGGGTTCTTCTTTCAAATTGACTTCCTTATCAGGTTTGCAGCTAACTATTGCTGCTGCCAACTTCCCACGGGCCGACAGAGAACCGCTTGGTGGAGCCACTGAGAACATGGACTCTGTGGTGTTAAGCTTTGGGTTGGGTGGGCGAATTGTAAATCTTAAAAACAAGAGCAAAAAGCAGCAAATAAAATCCTGCAGTTAAATAAAACTTATTACACATAAAATGTAGAACAAAGAAGTAAAGGAAAAATAGTCATGCTCACTTGAAGGCTAAGTCATATTTTCCTTTGTTTGTCAGCTTTAGCTGCTGTTTGCTTTCTTCAAAGGCTCTAAGGATCCCAAAGTCCAAACTAGCAGCTGTCACAGAAGCAAAGGTGTGGAAGATGACATTAGTATTATTTCAGAAAATCATGTCAGTGTTTCAGTATTAAACCATGTAGAATAGCTGAAATATCCTGAGTTAAAGGACCTACTTCTTTGTAGGATTTAGTGCAGCTCAGAGGTCAGATTGGTTGCTGACAGTGGAATATGTCATTATCTTTTCCTTCCTTATATATACATATATATATATATATTTAGAGAAACACTTTTTTCCAGCTGTTTTAGTTCTTTTAGGACAGAAGGAAATGGAGTCAAATTGTAATGTCATAAAACAAATTTATGGATCCATGTAAACAGAAACAACTTTACTAAAATGTTGTTTTTAAATTTTCCGGTAACACTTTATTTGAAGGAGGTTGAATAAGACTGTCATGACACTGTCATGAACATGACATAACACATGTCATGAACATGAATAAGCCTTCATGAATATTTATGACTGTTGTCATAAAGCGTCATTCGGTAAATTATGACACTTTTAATACAAAGTTTACATTATTCAAAATGTCTTTGTTATGACAACTTGACATTAACCAAGAAATCATTACTGTTTAAACATTATCTTTAATAACATAAAGTTACCTAATTTTTAAAGTGCAATCAGTAATACTTTTAGAACAAATTTATGTCAGTAAAAAATGCATCTTGCTGGGATGCCTGGCAAAACACTTATTTCTGAAAATTGTTTTATTAAACAATAAAAACTGACTTTAATGTTTCTTAAATTTCACTGAACTGCTGCCAGTCTTTTGAGTTACACTGTTTAGGGCTTTATAGTTGGTACCTGGTTCGATCTTCAGATCTACATCATAGGCTTCAGCATGAATTGTTAAGTTTTCAGTGTGCAGGATTCCAATAATTTTCTCCACATCGTATACCTAAAATAAAA